GCTGCGTTCAGGAACAATTTTGTGGTTTAACCCCCAATCCAACCCCAAAGTGTTTGGCACGACCTGACCGGGATCTGAACCCCGATCTCCCATTTTCAGGATGGACACTCGACCACTAGGCCAATGAGAAACTAGATGGATGTGCTTCTCCACTGCCAGATAGTTATCTCAAGTTTCTCAATGTTGCCAGGATTATTTCAAAACTATTGCTATGATTCAATTGCAACATATTTATATTTCTCACCTGCTGCTGAAATTAAAAGACTGGCAATAATGTTTCTTGTGTGTGTGCGCGCGCGTGCGTGTGCGCATGCATGTGCATGTGTGTACACGTGTGTTCGTGTGCATGCGTGTGTGCGTGTGTGATCATTAGTAATTGAAGTTGTGAACCACTGAGTGGATATAAGTTAATCTCTAAGAAAATAACCATGGGAGGTACTAAGTAACTAGAGCAGGCAACCGGATTCAAGATGGCTGACTTTGATGGTCCTTCTGTTACTTCCATCAAGACAATGCAATGCTGATTGTAGTTTGGTGGTGCTGTAGTTTCCGGATCTGCTCAGGGTCCTGCACCTGCCGATGACATCATCATACTGCTCGGCCAAAATATATTGCATCTCCTTTTTGATTCTGTTTTGCTTCTTACTTCCTGAATGTTTTCGAAAATGGTAACGTAACTTCTGCAAGTCATAGAGCCAGCATATCATCTAGCGTGGCGTCATCAACAGGCGCAGGACCCTGAGCTGATCCAGAAAGTACACACCAGAAAACTACAAGCAGCATTATGTCTGTGAAGGTTCTCAGTCATCCAGGTCATTGTAGTCTAATGAGCTTTGAAAGAAAAGCATCTGGACTTCTTTGCGTTTCTTTCAAAGCTCATTGGACTACAAGCAGCATTGCATTCTCTTGGTGGAATTGACCGAAGGACCATCAAAGTCTGAGGAGTCACGCCGATGTTGCATGGCTTCTGCTCCACAAAGACGCTAGTCCAGCGCTCTATGTACTTTAGACCCGATTTCTATGGTCATATGTTACAAAGTCATCACTATTTTTCAACAAATGGACATCGTTTTGTTCATTTTCAAGAACATTTCAATGTATGTTTACAAAGATTAAAGGTAAAAATATTGTCTCTTTAAAGACACTTAATAGTTATCAATAACAGTAATGGTAATAATGGACCCTTTGTTTATTAATGCTTAATAATACACTAAGTAATGTTAATTAAGGGACCCTTGTTGTGACGCGTTACCCAATTTTATTGACCAGACTGGACCACATCGGCTGTATCACCATCATTTTCAGCTCAAAGTGATTTTAGATGCATTTGTCATTCCTCCAAGGAACACTAAACCTTTCATTTCATTCAGTACTGAAATCCACCACTCAACATTTACACAACCTCATCCATTTATTCACATGCCAATCAGCTTATTCTGTTAGTTAGTTGAATTATGAGAGCAGAACCAAAACAAATGAAACTCCTAAAGCTTTTTTCCGTGTTTCACCTCGCTACCCAAAGGTCTCCTGAAGTCTGAAATCCAATTATGTTTGGTTTGAGGACGTCAGATGACACAAAACTGAAGAATATTGGACAATATGTGCACTTTTCAATAGATCATCAGACCAAAAGAACATCTTGTCTTTAAATCTGAGAATCATTTGCTGTTTCCTGAGAGGGTATTCTGCTCCACTCGTGTATTTCTATCATCCATTATATGGATAAAATAAAGAATAGGCTTCACAAAATGTTCTTTTTGGACGACTTAATGGAGTCACTTTTTGCTTCATGCTTTATTTAACATTGGACCTTAATGTATAATTTGTCTGTATTGCCTGTAATCCATCCTGAATGTCTGTATTATTTTATCTTTACTGTGCAGCTCTGTGCCAAATAGTCAGCTGTATAATTGATCTCCTGGCTCTGGGGGACCCCAATTAAAGTTTAATACACTTTAACTAATAACTTATGATAGATAAGTTCATATAATAGCTACTACAGCTTTTGATAGATGTTATTTCCCAGTCAACTTCACATGCATCACCTGTGGGGAAAATATAGGCACTATTATTGTTTGTCTTTTCCCTTTAGTTGGTTTTTTGTCGTCGTGTCAAACTGAGGTTCATCTCAGTTCGACACGTGCCATAGGCAGCTGCACTGTCACACATCAAGTTTCAAATGCCGAGCAGAATTTTGTTGGGTGAAATGATTAATAAATGACTGAACACCTACTTAGAAAACAACACAGATGGCTAGAAGAGTAGCCTAGAGTATGACACAGGATATGGGAATAGTAAATAATGGCAAATTATAATGGACCCAATTTTGTAGCTTCTGATGGGGATGGGATAAGGAACGGGGGGGGGGGGGGGGGGGGGTACAGAAAGAGAAAGATTGAGATAGAGAAGCAGGAGCCCCGCAGAGACAGAATAAGCAGGAGAGGGAGAGGAAGGAAGAGAGTGAAAGTGATAAGCGACCTCCCTCATGAAAGACTTGGCATGGTGCCGGCAGGGCAGTGGCACTCGGAGGAGTGGGCCTAATTCTTCAGAGCCGGGGAGAATCAAACTGTGCCAAGCCAAGCTAAAGTGACAGCTTGAGCAAAGGAGCTGTTCAGATCAGCTCTCCCACATCTCCCAGCTTCCTCATTGGCTGTCACACCAGGCCTGCAGGGCCAATCTGCTTACTCAGATGTTTGGTGGAGCCAGATGTCAGGCTTACAAGAGAGTCCCCAAATTTCCCTTCAAGGGGAACCCTATTTGCTGAACCCCTGTGATAATGTTGCTAGAAACTGCAGCGACAAGGAGATTTTCTCCCCCTGCAAAGGTCCCAGCTGTGGATTAGCATTTAGGGTTTAAATAATGTAGGGACGGACCTGTGCTTAGTCACACTTAGAAGGTTTTGGGGGTTATGTAAAATAGTGTTCTGGAAGAGGAGTGTTCTGTAGGTGAAAAAGGCCCATTTTGGTTGTGTGATAGCGGTCTAATTGAGGTTAGGTGTTGGTGCCGGGTGGCTGGACTGGTGGTGAGCCTCGGGGCGTGGGGTGACAGGTGGCACAACGGGTGTTCAAATCACTCTGACACTACCCAGGGTGCACTACTGGCAGATCGCAGGGAGGAGCAGCAGGCAGTGTCTCCATCATAAACACACATACACAGTCATAAACACTTTCATATGAAAGTGTTCTCATGCAAACCATCGTTATCTTGTCAGCAATATAGCATATCATTTATTATGTCTGCTTTTAAAGTCTGTATTTGCATGTTGCACACACTCATGTGCTTACGGCTGACAAATCCAAATACACACATGAACACATACTCTAAAAAAGAGAGTCAGATTAGGAAACATAGATCCACACACTCACATGCAGCGCTGAGCCTTTGCTCTGCCGGGGAGGAAGTGGCACCGCAGCGGGGACCCCCTGTACTGAGTCGGTCCCCTCCTGTCTGGCCGCGAGCGACTCTCTGCAGTCAGGCAGCACATCACAGCCTCCACACTGCAAACAGATGAGTACGTGTAGAGAATCCTGACTGCTGCCTCAAAGGGACCAGCCTACGTGTGACAGCAGTTCATTAACATCCTCTTTAAACGCGTACGCTGGAGCAACCACAGGCACTGAACTGGCAGGAGTCACATGTCAGAGTTTAACCAGACCAGTTTGTTGCTTCAGCCTCTCATACCAAGTGCAGATCATACGTGGAGGGCAGTAAAAGTAACCTCTCGTTTCTCTTCGTATGTGCAGACTACCTGCAAGTAGGGATGGGTACCTTTGACATTTGAATCGATCCGGTACTTAACGGTACCAATTTTCGATACGTTTGAGTGTTTAATATTTTTAATTCTCTTTTATAATTAAATATATATTTTTCTCAATATATAACAATATTTGATAAATATCACGATAAATAACATACAACTGTTTGTATTTAAACATCGTCCTTGTAGTTTTATAAGCTGATAATTAAACTGAAGCAAACATCTTTACTGTGAACTAAATTTACTGTGTATCTGCATTC